TCTGAATGTTCATATCTCTTATGACTGTCCAAATATTGTTCATACATATAACGTTTTGGTGGGCTTCTGTGCCTTGTTGGGTATCGATGTCCTTTTCCTTGTCCTTTTTCCTTCTTTATATTTGACAAGAGGCATGCATGCAAAATTCGGCTGAGAGATTGAACCTTTCCCACCAATATGGTTTCAATAGTGGTATGTAACGATATACACCTATTTCAAAAAACGTTGTCGGTTGGAGATCTGAAATCTGATATCTGAGAACGATTAACAAGCTTCAAATTGTAAAATATTCACAGCAGAACAAAGTACTTTACTTTAAGATTGGAATATAAGGCATGATGATCTTTAAGTTAGAAATGTGATTTTTCGCGTATTTTGTCCACAAAACATAAAAGCACTAAACATTTCAGATGTCGGACCGACAACGTTTTTTTAAAATAGATTAGTACGTCTATACCACAAAGAAGTCGAGAAAGAAAAGTTTTACAATAAGAATTTATTAAATTTGCTTTTTATAAGAATTTTTAAGGATAACCAGCTCAACGTTAGTGCTAATATTGTTTGTGATAAAAGTACAACAAGACGGTGATACATCTGAAGAAAGAAAACGCGTGGTGTTTGACTAGGTACGAGCACCCTTCCATTTTTGCGACATTTAATACAATTTATATATTTCGTATTCCATGCGTGTGCTTGAGCGCTAATTTTCCATCTAATTTGTAAATTATGTTTAAAGAGTGCGACAAAGCCTTGTTGATGGTGCCTTCTCAAACTCGTTAATAATTCATGAGGTCAATGACCAAAGGCGACTTTGCATTGTAGTCACTTGCACGCACCTTGATACTTGATCAAGAACGGATCAAGACACTGATCAAAACACTGATCACTTTTTTAGTCTCAGGAGATTCAAGAACAAATTAATTATAATGAGACTAAGAAGTAAGTTTAGAAACGAGTGCTTCGTTTTTGATCAGGGCATCCAAACGTGCTTTCATCTGTTTCTCAGTGTTTGGATGTCCTGATCAAACACGAAGCACTCGTTTTTGATTTTTACATCAGGGGCAGTGACATGATTTTAATTAATTTTTTTACTTTTCCATGGAAACAGAATATCGTTGCTCGAGTCGACTGATTTATATTTTTAGATCGCCATGAAGCTGTGTTTTTTGGTTCTTATTTTTTTAGCCGTTACCGCAACTCTAATACTATATCAATATTGCACAGATATCTATATGTATCATGTGAGATATAAACCGGATCAGTTTAATGCGCGGGTATTGGCAAATAATGACCCCTCTCAGTTCAGTGGTGTAGACGTGATTATAGTTGGTCAGGGTCGATCTGGGACAACGTTTATTGGTGAGATGTTCAATAACAATCCTGATGTGTT